ATATATATGCAAAACATTACATTATGGAACACAAATCACTAAGTAAATATTAATGCACTGACAAAGATTCCAATTTTTTTTCTGCTGTTCTGTCTCGTGAAAATTTCCGTTGGAATATGTACTTTATGTAAAAAACAATTCTGATGAAAAAAGAAATAGTTCAGGCACTATTAATCTATGAAAAATGAAAATACACTTTAGACTTTAGGTGTATTCTGTAAAATTAAAGAGATTTTAAAAACTTTCAGGAAGCAAAATGCTTTCTTATTTAAAGTGTAAAAATTAGGAACTGCAAACTAAGAATTTAAATGCTTATGTAACTCTTCCCACTCTTAAAACTGCCACAAACTATGATGCTCAGATCTAGACGTTAAAGGGAAAATGATCTCCAATGTTAACACTTCTATTGTTATAGAAATGGCAATGCTGTGTATTCATTTTTCCTTTTTTTAGGCTGAAAGAAAAATTTCAGAAACCAAAACTCCTTGTTAATTCTGACACAGCAACCCTCTAGGACAGAGCAGAAATGCCCCAATGGATTTCCAAGGCTGTTAATGTTTACTGAAGCAGACAGACTGCATCACCTTTCTCCCTTGAAAATGTCAACATTTCTGTTAGCAGATCAGCACTTAACCACTGTGCAACCAGGCTTCTGTGCATGTGTATTGTGTTGTTCAGGTGGTTCAGCAATCCTGTATAGGGATTCTGAAGTAGCTGGTGGGCTTGAACTATAGACATCACGGCTATTAGTCTAGTGCTTATGCTACAGTGTCATATCAAGTCTCCCTACTAGGGACCAGAAGGCTACCAAGACAATGCGAGCCTACTTCTTTAGAAAAGAAAAAAAATTAGGTAACCACTGGCCAAACATGGCTACAGAGTGCTTGAAATGTGCTAAGTGTGATTGAGGGATTCAAATTTTATTAAGAATCTGCTACCTGATTTGGCAGTTAATCTTTATCTTAGGAACAACATAGGAATGTAAATCCATTTCCAACTATACATTTTATGGAATAAAATATAAAGGCCAAAAGTGCAACTATACATTTTACGGAATAAAATAAAGGCCACAAGTGGGGTATGTGTTGGGATGCTAAACACAAGGTCAGCAGTTCAAATCCACCAATCACTCCATTGAAGAAAGATGAGTGTTTCTATTCCTGTAAAGTTTTACAGCCTCGGAAACTCTATACAGAGTCAGAAATGACTCGAGAGTACACAACAGCAACAAATATAGTTCAAATATTTTCAGTAAGCATTTCATGAATTAAAATGTACTGTACGATAAGCACTAGACTGCTAACTGCAAAGCCAGCAGTTCAAACCCACCAGCCGTTCCTTGGAAACCCTACAGAGTCACTATGAGTTGGAACCAACTTGACAGTATTATACAATTTACGCACCAAATTTCAAACTTAATACAAATGAAAAAGGAGTAGGAAATACTAGGGGACTTCAAAAAAAGTTCATGGAAGAATTTCATTATCTTTTAATTCCAATTTCCATTAACTTTTTGAAGCCCCCTCATACAGCCTTAATAATTTTCTGTTGATTATACACTATACTTCACTGTATAGTGAGGCAATTTTTTTAATACATTGGTGGTGGTTTTTAATACATTGGTGGACTGACTTAAGTGACCTTCTATAGGGCTTCCGAGCTTGTAAATCCCACTAGCAGGCCTGGTGGGCTTGACTTGCCAGCCGTGTGGTTCCTAGTCCAGTGCTTATCCTACAAAGTGCTCCCAATATACTGGGTTAAGTTATAAATGTTAATTTTACTTTTTAAATATTGGTTTGTGGCTACAAAATTTACATTATTCTATTGAATAGTAGTGACCTCTGTTTTCAAACTTCATGCCTTACCCTCACAGCCAACACTCCCTCCTAAAACACTCTGTACACTCTACCAACCAATGAGATTTTATCTATTAACTCTTACTGCATTTTGGTCTCCTTTTATTGCTGAGATTAAAAAGGCAATCCTTGGACTGAAAAAGTATCACTATACTTGACAATTTGTAATAAAACAGTTCACTGTCAAGATGTAGGTGCTTTGAACAGACAGCAGAGGGCAGTATACCCCCACAAAGCAAAAATTACTGATTCTTCAAAACTACTGGGGGGAAAAACCCTGTAATAACTGAATTTGTGAATTAGTATAAGAGGATCATATATATAAAATGACTGTTGTTGTTAAGTGGCGTTGAGTTGGTTCCAAATCATCATAGCGACCCTATAACAGGGTTTCCAAGGAGCAGCTGGTAAGTTTGAACTGCCAACCTTGTGGTTCAAACCGACAATTCAGCCGAGTGCTTTACCCCACAGCACTGCACCAGGTCTCTAAATAGGATGTACAAATACTCTTGTTTGCAGAAAAACAGAAGCAAGGTAAAGGTAATCTTACCTTCATGACAACAGGTTTCTCAAAATTGTAAATGGAATGAGCCTTCCTTTGAACAAACTTCTGAAATTCTGGACATAAAGCAATTGACATTAGTACCATGTTCAAGTATGTACAGGAGAAGAGTGAGAATTAAAAGATGAGGTCTCATCTCACCATTATAGACCATTTGAAAATTAAAGGGCTCCTCTTCATAGATGTCATTTAAATGTTTCATTGCTATTATAAGACAAATTTCCAAGACTGACAAACCTGTAGTAAAAGGCAAACAAAATGAGGTATAGCTTTATTAGTGATATATAACGATGAAATAAATATCCTTGAAATAGTTTGATATGGTCAAAGATTGTGGTTTTCAGGTATGGGAAAGTCAAAATGCCCCTAGTACAGATATGTTTCTGCGACTACCATCTACATAAGCAATCTATTTACCTCCCAAAGTTTCGTTTTCATGCCTATAAAATAGGCATATTCCTAAATTTACATGGCTGTTATATGATTATGACTTTAAATCACATAGGGTTCATGGTAGGATTTATTCAGAGAATATCTAAACCAGTAGGAATTATATCCAAAATTGTGTATACATAATATTTCTCCTAGATAGAAAGCTTATTAGATTCTCAAAAGTGCTCACAATGATTCGAAATCAATGCTATTCAGCAACATGCTGAATGAACTTCAAATGGGGCAAGGGATGCAGAGCTTCAAAAATTCTTTTACTTTAAATGGAAAATATCTATTTTACTTTAAAGGGCCAAGTTAGGACTGTATGAAATTATGGATCTAAAAGCATTCTGTATATAAAGCATTACTGCTTTGTGCCATCAAGTCAATTTTCACAGGGAACCTTTACTGTATAAGGTTAGGGTTTCCAGAAGTGGCTGGTGGATTTGAACTCCTGACCTTACCGTTAGCAGTACAATGCTTTTCCTACAGTGCCATACTAAGGCTCTAAAACACTATGTTGTTGTTAAGTGCTGTGGAATTGGTTATGACCCATGGCAACCTTGTACAGGGTTTCTGAGGAGCAGCTGGTGGGTCTGAACTACTGGCCTTGTGATTCACACTGACCTTGTGGTCCAGCTCTTTATGCTGCAGCACCACACCATGATTGCCTACAGCACTATGTTGTTGTTGTTAAGTGTCGTCGAGTCGATTCCAACCCAGAGCAACCCTGTATAGGTTTTCTGAGGAGCAGCTGGTGAGCTTGAACTGCCGACCTTGCAATTCAAATGGCTTTGCAATCTGGCTCATTAACCCACAGTGTTAATTATAAAGAACTTAAAATAATTCCATTATCTACATTCAAATGTATAGAATCCATAATTATAAACTTAAGAAAAGAATTCCAGCAAACTCCTTACCATGTACAATATTTGCTTTAGAATCCATGCTACACAGCTGACTTGCCTCCATCAGATCTGCTGCTGTCATAAATGCATGTGATGTTGTTATGCGATTTAAAGCAAGCATCTAAGGAAATGCAAATCAGAAAAATGATTACACATTTACTTGGGCATTTTAGACATAATACTGAGCAAAACTGGTAAATTATGAGTGTGTTCTTATGTGAGAGTAAATATAAATGCTAGGGAAAAGTTTTTTTCTCATCTTTTATTGTTGTTAGAAGCTGTCAAGTTGGTTCTGACTTAGTGACCCTATACACAACATAATGAATCATTGTTGTGCACCACACTCCACTATTGTTACGTTTGAGCCCATTATTGCTGCCATTGTGTCAATCCATCTTGTTGAGGGTCTTCTCTTTTTTGCTGACCCTCTACTTTATGAAGCATGATGTCATTCTCCAGGGACAAGTCCTTTCTGATAACAAGACCTAAGTATGAGAGATGAAATCTGACCATCCTGGCTTCTTTTCAAACACAGATTAGTTTGTTCTTCTAGCAGTTCTTCTCCATCACCATAACTCAGAGGCATCACTGTCCAATTTCCCAACTTATTCACTGTCCAATATTCAACACATGCATATGAGGCAATCTGAAAGTACCATGGTCAGGCATACCATAGTCCTCAAACTGATTTCTACGATTGTACACTGTAAAGAGGTCTTTTGTGGCTGATCTGCCTAATGCAATAGGTTGTTTGATTTCTTGACTGCTGCTTCCATAAGTGTTGATTGTGGATTCAAGCAAAACGAACTCTTTGACAACTTAAATGTTTCCTCCATTGATCAGTCCGACTGTGAGGATTTTTGTTTACTTTACATTGAGGTGCAATGCAAACTGAAGGATGTAGTCTTTGATCATTAGTACATATTTGAAGTCTTTGGCACCACAGAATAAACACTGGACTGTTAAAGGCAAGGTCAGTGGTTCAAATCCACCAGGCATTCCTCAAAAATCCTATACAGGGTTGCTCTGAGCAGAAACTGATTCAATGGCACTTAACACCTTCAACACTTCCAGCAAGTAAGGTTGTGTCATTTGCATATCATAGGTTGCTAATGAGTCTTCCTCCAATCCTGATGCCACGTTCTGCATATAATGCAACTTCCTGGATTACTTGCTCAACAGACAAAGTATGGCAAAGAATCAACCTGGGTGCACACCTGTCTTATTTTAACTATTCAGTATCCCCTTGTTCTGTTCTAACAACTGTCTCTAAGTCTATGTACAGGTTCCTCATGAGCACAACTGATTGTTCCAAAATACCCATTCTTCACAAGGTTATCCAAAAATTGTTATGATCCACACAGCTGAATGCCTGTGCAGTCACTGAAGCACAAGTAAACATCTTTCTGGTATTCTCTGCTTTAAAATACAGTTAATGCTATTAAAATACAGTTATTTTAATTCATATGCCACATGACTCAGTATAAACAAAACATAAAAATGTTCTTACCATATACACTCTAACTCTTCTAATATTCTAACATATTCCTCTTTCTAGCCTGAATAGATAAAATAGTAGTAGAAACTGAACCTTAGTATAGTTCCCTAAAGACTTGAAGTCTTAAGAGATTGTCTTGTATGGGCTCTTGTATAATGGTAACAGAGGGTCCTTATGAGTCGGAACTGACTCGACAGCACTTAACAAGATGATTACATAGATTAACTTTCTAGAATTTGTTAAATGTAAATTTTATGTTATATTCAGTAGAATACAAATAATACCAAATGCTTAGAAGGGATGAAAGAATGTGTAAGGGTAGGCAGTTATACATATGTTGTTGTAGTTAAGTGCTGCTGAGTTGGTTCCAGCTCATAACAACAGCATTTAGGGTTTCCAAGATGCAGCTGGTGGATTTGAACTGCTGACCTTGTGATTAATAGTGCAGTGCTTACCCTACAACACCACATATATGTATTTTACAATTATATACACATACTGACAGTATGAAGTCCTGGTGTGGTGCTGTAAAATAAGCAGTGGACTGCAAGGTCAACAGTTCAAACTCACCAGCCGCTCCATGGAGGCCCTATACAGGGTTACTATGAGTTGCAACCAACGTTACAGCACTTAACAATAACTGACAGCATAGAGGGATTCTGTTATCCCATGCCTTCATTATCTAATGCTGCTATAATAGAAATATCACATGTTGACTTAATGAACACAGATTTATTTTCTCACAGTTTAGGAAACTAGAAGCCTGAATCTAGTCGAATTAGGTGCTGGCTCTAGAGAAGAACCCTTTTTTTGTATGCTCTAGGGGAAAATCCTTATCTTTCAGATCCTATTTCTAGGTTCCTTGGGAGACATATGTGCTTACTTGCTGAATTTCTCTTCTACATCTCAAAAGATATTAATACACACCTACTAAGAATCTTTGGTAGTGTAGTGGTTATGAATTGGGCTGCGAACTGCAACGTCAGCAATTCGAAACTACCAGCTGCTCCATGGGAAAAAGATGAGGCTTTCTGCTCCTGTAAAGATTTACAGCCTCAGAAACCCTGTACAGGGTTGTTATGAGTTGGAACAGACTCCACAGCACATAACAACAAATTACCTGGTGTAGTGCTGTGGGCTAATGTGCTGGACTGCAAAACTGTTTGAGCCACGAGGTCAGTGGTTCAAGCTCACCAGCTGCTCCTATACAGGGTTGCTATGGGTCGGAAACAACTCAACAGCACTTACCAACAATAACAACTACCCTAATACTGACTCATTAACAATGACAATCTATTCCCTAATAGGATAATAACTACAGGTATGTTGTTGTGGTTAAGTGCCATTAAACTGGTACTGACCCATATGGACCCTATGCAGAACAGAAGGCAGCACTGCCTGGCCTGGCATCTTCCTCACAGTTGTTGCTGTATTTGATCCCATTGCTGTCACTGTGTCAATCCATCTTATTGAGGATCTTTGGGTTAGGATTTACAACACATATTTCTGGGAAAAACCTTTCAATCCATAACAATTCAGAAGGCAAAGAAGATAGCCTTTGAAGACAGGCAGGGAGATCTCAGGTTCTATCACAGATATAAGATGGTTTTAATAAAGTTAGAAAACAAGTGATGAAGCATATCTAACATATATAGTCCATGAGATTACGTTAGTCAAGAATTTCAAAGATTTCATTAATTTACTTCCCCTAATAGAAAGTTGTTTTATTGTAACAGCTATACAGGTTCAACAACAAAGAATCTCTGACTCCAGTATGACCCAAGCAATACTGAATGCTAGAAGATAGTGTGGATCCATACATAATGTTCTCAGGTGGAAAATCTGATTCAAATTACACCAAGCCAAATATTGTTCAAGAAGAAAGGGAATAGGTATTTTAAGTATGTAAGATGTCAGGGAAAATGAATCCCATAAATGCTCTTCAAAAACTATATCCAAGGTGAGTAGTGACTGGGATCTAACGTGCTCATGAGTGGTCATCTAAAGTGTAACTACTGGTGTCTCCCTGTGTGGTAGAAGAAAACTGAAGACGCCTAGAATGAATTAATTCAATGGGTTAATGGAACACTTGTGAACATCGATCAGTATCTACAGCCTTGAGATGCAAAGAAATTAAATGGTACCTGACTACCACTACCAGCTGCTCTGAAAGGGATCACATTTGAAGGTCCTGGATAGAGAAGAATATGTGGATCAAAACTCAAGATGATAATAAAAGACCAGGTTTACTGATCAGAAAGAAACTAGAGACTCTTGGTCACTCTTCAGGTCTGGAACTGAACCCACCCTCATGACTCATTTTTCAGCGAAGCAGTATATAGGCTATTAGAGGGAACAACAATACTGGGGATGTTGGGATGGGATTAATATACTTCGCATATAAGAATAACATGATTTTTTGGGGGGACTAGAGAGCCGATTATCTTGGGTTGAAATATATATGCCCAAAAGATATGCTGAAGTCCTAAACTCTGGGACCTGAGATTGTGACCTTACCTGGAGAAGGGTTTTATAGACATCATTAGTTAAGATGAGATCATACTTTAATCAATTATGGGGAGCCTTAAATCCAAAGATGGTTGTCTTTAAAAACAAGTCATATGAAGACCCAGACAAACATAGAGAGGACAAACATCAAAAAAACACCACGTGAAGACAAAGGCAGAGATAGGAGTGATGCAGCCAAAGAATACCAAGGACGGTTGGCAAGCCCCATGATATAGGAAAAGGCAAGGAAGTATTTCCCCCTCTAAAACCTTTTTAAAGGGAACAGGGTTTTATTGGCACCGTTAAGTTTAGACTTCTGGCCACAGAACTGTGTTAAATCAACTGTGTTCAACTATTGTGTTGAACCAGTTTATTGTACTTTGTTAGGGTAGCCCTACGGAACAAATGCAGCACCCAGTTTACCAGCTCAGGTAATGTAAGACAGATAAATTGGTTATTTTATATTCAATTATATAAAAAATAAAAATCCAAAATACTACCTAAAAAGAGCTCTATGCTTAAAAGCATGGCTAAGTTAGCTATGTCTCCAACAATCAAAACAAAATTTTCAAGTATTTGAAGATCCCTTTATTAATGTTTTCATAAAGTTAATTTACTAACTTAAATAGGGTCACACTTAGCAGATAATTACAGGACTATCTAGTTAGATAAACAATGAGTAACTTTTTACTATAGTATGTTCCATACAATACTTGGGATATACGTCAATCAGAAAGTCTCTGCTCAATACTAACCAAGCTGTGAAGAGCTCATCCTTCATTCCCTCACTGGCTGGAACACCTAGGTCTCCAGCAGCTTCCTTCCTTTCTCTTGCTTTTTTTATTTTAAATTATGAAATATTTTTGACATAGAAAAACACAGCAAAGAATACCCTTATGACCCCTTTTCCCAGTTTAAGAAATAAAACTTAGATAGATGAAGACCCTGCTTCTTTGCCTGGATTTCATTTGAAAGAACATTGCATATGGTGTCTATTACTAGGTATGTTGTCATACTTCTACTAGAGTCCTGGTGTATCACTGCAGGTTAAAATGCACTGGACTGTAGGCCAGTTTGAACTGGAAGGTCAGCGGAGTTCAAACCTCACCAGCTGCTCCTTGGAAACCCAACACAGGGTGGCTATGAGTCAGAACCAACTCAACGGCACTTATCAACAACACTAGACATACACTGGGGGGAAATGTAATTAAAGACTAATGAAAGTTTTCCACAAACTTTGAAAAGCCTTCTTTGAATGTGTTGTGTCGGTTCCGGCTCATAGTGACAGTGTACAGTACAGTCACATACAGAATTTATTTTCCAGTATGTAGTAAGAAAGACTGGTAGGTTTGAACTGGATTCCTATATAACATAATATAAACAATATTATATAAATAACATACTGTAATTTTGCAACTTTTCCCACTGATTATCTACTAAAAACTTGTCATATGGATTCCAGTTTATTTACATCTTTAACTATTGTACTGCTTTCCAATGTTTATTCATTCTTTTGTTGATAGATATGCATTTCCTTTTTTCACAATTAAACAAAGGTGCAATAAACATCTTGACATGTCATCTTCTGAACCTGAGATTCTCTAGGTTCTGCATTTGCCAGATTGTTCTCTAAATTGCTCATATTTATTCTTCTAGCAGCAAAAAAACGTAATAGCTACCAAGACTACTGTTATCAGACATATCTTTTGACACATACCAAATTGATAGGGGGAAAAAAGCTTATTGTAGTGTAAATTTCCATTTCCTTGGTTTCAGGAAAGGAGGCACAGCTACATCTCTTTATATTATAGGCCATGCGGGATTCTAGTTCGGTAGATTGCCTGGTCATATTGTTAGCTCTTTCCTTTACTGATTATCTCTATTTTATTGTGGAAGCTATAAAATATATTATGGATAGCACTAAGGATTATACAAACTGTACATATTCCCTCCAATCACTCTTCTCACTTAAACAGAGTTATCTATTGGTGGTGTTGTTAAGTGCCGTCGAGTTGCTTCTGACCCATATTGACCCTGTATAGGGTTTCTGAGGAGCAGATGGTGAGCTTGAACCGCCAATCTTGCAGTTCAAATGGCTTTGCAGTCTGGTGCATTAACCCACAATGCCACATTAGAAGCATTAAAAAACTCAATGTAATCAAGTTTATGTATCTTTTGTTAAGTATCTATGAACTCTTTCCCAAGGCCCAAATTACAATTATATTATCTTTTATTTCCTTTCAAAGTCTTGAGAAGTTTTCTTTTGCACATTTAGGTCTATATACCTGGAATTTATTTTACAGCATGTAGTTTTTTTTTGATATTTATTTCATAGTAAATGTTTTTTTTTTTGTTTTTTTTTTAATTAAACGTTTTTATTTTGGATTGAGTGAAAGTTTACAGGGCACATCATCAGTTTCACATTCAACCATTCATATAGCTTGTTTCATTACATTGATTATTATCCCCACTATATATCATCAGTTTACAGTGTTTCTCTCTATCCTCTTTAGCTTTTTTTTTTTTTTTGGACGTGGGGGGACTTGGCTTATTGGAATTTACAGTCTCGGCTTTTAGGGGAGGTTTTTACATTTGTCTGTGGATATCCAGGGCTCACGTATGAGATTACTAACAAGCATTACTGAATAATCAGATGAGGGACAGTTTGCTATGTCTACTAGGTAGCTAGAGTCTGATCCTCAGAGCCTATGGTTTGGACGGTCAACAACGCTTGGGCCCACAGGGGCTTGGCCTCCTGACCGGGTCTGTGCTGTCTGCATCTGAGTCCTCCTTTTTTATTGATTGTTTAAGGGACGCTGCCTGTCTTAGGTGGTCAGTGCGAATTCCTCAGTCTTACCAGTCATTGAGACTCATTGCAGCATGGCAATGTCTCTGTCCCAAGTAGCCGAGGTTCCACGTGATCCTTACCCATCTCTGGCCACACGTCCAGCATAAACAGCCGCCATCCGAGGAAGGCAGGGAGGGAGGAGATCAGCTGGGGACCCCATGCGCCCGACGTTGCGGGCCCACCACCTGCTCTAAGGTGACCAAGCAGGATCAATATGCTGAGGTTCAATCCAGTTCCTCGGGGATCTTATTCTCTAGCATGGGTAGCAAATGGGTAGCCACGCAGTGTTCACTTTGAGAATTACTTATATCATAAAATTGAGTGTGTAGCTGATGAATATCCCCAGACAAGTGCATATTGTTCCACAACCTCCTAAAATGCTGTTGGATTAAGTTCCAATTAATTTCTGGGTTACTGAAAGATAACACAAATCTACTTATACCTTGAGTAACCTTAGCTGGGAGTGTAGTCTGGATATATTGGGTCTTATTTCCCTTAAGCGGTCTTCCTTTCTCTAAAGCATTTAGCCTGTTTTGTGAGCCTTTGTCTATTCACTCTCAGATCATATGAGCGAGACTAATGTCCCTAGACATTTGATTTACATGATGGGTACAGCATGTAGTTTTAAGAGTATTTTTTTTTTTTCCCCTATAACTCATGGTTTTTTTCTTGTTACATATTATCCAAACTATATAATAATCTCAGTCAAGAACTTTTTCTTTATATTCTCTACCAACTCACACAAACTTTTGTTAAACATGAAAAAAATAATTCAAGTCATTACAGTGAACCAAAATGTAACAGGAAAAACGGTTGTTAAGTACCATCAAGTCGGTTCACCCCAATTAGGGTTTCTGAGGAGCAGCTGGTGGGTTTGAACTGCTGACCTTAGAATGCTGAAAATGTTGAGGCAGAGATATTTTCACAGAATAAGGGGAGGTAAACATATATAATATAATATATGCACACATATACATATGAGGCCAGCCCAGGACCAGGCAGTGTTTCATCTTATCAATGGAGAAAAGACTGAAGTTGTCAAGGACTACTTCTTGGATCAACTACCAACACTCATGGAAGCAACAGTCAAGAAATCAGATGACGTATTGCATTAGGCAAATATGTTGCACATGACCTTTTTCAAGTGTTGCAGAGCAAAGATATAGGCTTGAGGACAAAGGTGCGCCTGATCCAAGCCAAGGTATTTTCAATAACCTCATACGCATGTGAAAGCTGGACAGTAAATAAGGACGACCGTTGAAGAATTGATGCTTTTGAGTTATGGTGTTGGAGGATAATAGTAAAAGTGCTATGGGCTGCCAGAAGAACCAACAGATGTGTTGGAAGAAGTACAGCTAGAGTGCTCCTTGGAGGCCAGGATGGCCAAACTTCATCTCTCATACTTCGGACATATTGTCAGGAGGGACATATTTGATAAGGTAGAGGGTGTGAGAAAAAGAGGAAGACCCCCAGGGAGATAGATTGGCAAAGTGGCAGCATCAATGGGCTCAAGCAGGGCAACAATTGTTGAGGTTAACCAGGACCAGGCAGTGTATCGTTCTGTTGTACATAGGGTTGCTGTGAGTCGGTACCGACTCGATGGCACCTAAAAATAACAACAACAACAAGGGTCGCTATGAGTTGAAACTGCTCAAGAGAACCTAACAATAATAAGCTTAAAATATGATTATTGGATGAAAGACTAAGACTAAGTGAGATTTACTCCAAGTTTGTAAGACTGGTTTAACATTTGAAAATCAATTACTCTAATCCACTATAACAGGTTAAAGAAAAAATATCATTATGATCATATCAATGATGCAGAATACACGTCTAAAAATCCAGCAGCAATTCCTGTCATACTCTCAGCAAGTTAACAATAGAACTTGAAAATGAGTATGCATAACAAAACCTTATAGGTAATATCACATTTATCAGATAAAGATTGAATGTTTTCCCCGAACATCAGGCATAAAGCAATGATGTTTACTATTTGTTTTCATCATAATGCTGGAAATTCTAGCCATTACAATAAACTAAGAAAAGAGAACAATAAAGGTATACAGATTGGAAAGATCTCAGTTTGCAGATGAGATTACACAGAATATGCCAAGGAATTTATATAAAAGGCTCCTAACAGTAATATTGTTGTAAAGATTTACACCCTCGGAAACCCTGTACAGGGTCGCTATGGGTCGGACCCGACTTGATGGCACTTAACAACAACAACAACAAAACAGTAATAAGTGAATTCAGAAAGTTTGAAGATTAAATCTAACAGTCAAGATGAAGAAACTGAAATTAACAACAAAATACCATCTAAAGTTGCTCCAAAGGAAACAAAATATTTAGGAATAAGCTTAAAAAAGGTACACTATCTGAGCAGGAAAAGATACAAAATGCTGATAAAAAAAATTAAAGTCCAAGACAAAAGGAGAGATGCACTGTGTTCATGGATTGGAAGACTAGCCATAGTAACGTTCTTTCTCTCTAAATTTACCTATAGGATTAATGCAATTCCCATCAAAATTTAATTACCAAGTAAGTGACAAAAACAATATTAATACAAACCAATAGCATGTGCAATGATCGTAGATTTTTGTTGACATTGAAATGCTTCTGCAATACTTCTCGTATATTCCTATCTTCTGAGAGACACTAAAGGAGAAACAAATAAAACAGAATTAAAGAACGTAAAGTGTCATCCAGTCAGTTGCAACTTACAGCGACCCTGTATAGTTCCCAAGGAGTGAATGGCGAGACTCAACAACCAAATCTTTCAGTTCAAACCAGCACTGTAATCCAGTGCTTACCCTACAGCACCACACCAATGAAATTCTGCAAGAAGATACAGGGACAGAACCACAGACATGTGAAGAACCAGAAGATGCCTGGTTTATCACCTCTGACAGCTCTGAAAGGGATCACATTAGAAAGTCACCAACAGAGTGGAAGAAAATGTGGAACAAAACTCCAAAATTATGGAAAAACACAAACTAACTAGGTTTACTGGTCAGAAAGAAACTGGAGAAACCGAAGACTATTACCCTTGGTCTCTCTTCATGTCCTGAAAGGAACTTACCTTCGTGCCTATATTTCAGCCAAACAGTAGATAGGTATTTAAGGGGGACAAAATAGTACTAAGGTATGGTCACCATGGAATAGCCAATCATTCAAAATCAAAAGGGAAACATTTACCTAAGGACAAAGTTGAGAACAGATGGGAAATTAAAGGCATCCAAATTGGCAAAGAGGAAATAAAACTCTATTTACAAACAATATGATCCTATACATAGAAAACCCCAAAGACTCAGTAAAAAAGCTACTAGACTTCATTGGAAGACTCAGCAAAGTGGCAGAATATAAGATCAACATATAAAAATCAGTTAGAGTCCTCTATAGTAACAATGACAGCACTGAAAAGGATATTAGGAAAGCAATACCATTTACAATAGCCGCCCAAAGGATGAAATATCTAGGAATAAATGTAACCAGAGAAACAAAAGACCTATATAAAGAAAACTACAAAACACTACTATAAGAAACCGAAAGAGACTTACAAAAGTGGAAGAATATACCATGCTCCTAGATAGGAAGACTTAACATTGTAAAAATGCCAAATACTGCCCAAAACAATTGATACATATAATGCAATCCCAATCCAGACTCCAACGACATTCTTCAAAAGATATGGAAAAAACTATTACAAACTTAATATTGAAAGGAAAGAGACCCAGGATAAGCAAAGCACTGCTTTTGAAGAAGAATAAGATTGGAAACCTCTCACTCTCCAATTTCAAAAATTTACTACATGGCTACAGTGGTCAAAACAGCTTGGTACTGGTACAATGAAAGATACATTTATCAATGGAACAGAATTGAGAATCCAGAAATTAACCCATACACAGACAACTGATTTTCAACAAAGGGCCTAGGTATACTGCATGGGGAGGAGACAGTCTCTTTAAAAGACAATGCTGGCAGAACTGGAAAGCGACATGCAAAAGACTGAAACAAGACCTTTACATCATGCTTTATACAAAAACAATTCAGCATGGATTAAAGACCTAAATGTGAATCCCAGAGCTATAAAGGCCATCAATGAAAAAACAGAGACAAATGTTAGGGCTCTAATACAGCACATACACAGACTACCAAATATTTTGAAAATTACATAAACAAAAGTAGACAAAATAGATGATTGGGACATATTAAAATTAAAAAACTTATGTGCATCTAAAGACTTCACCAAGAGTAAAAAGGGAACCCACAGCATGGGAAAAAATCTTTTGCAATGACACATCAGACAAGGTACTAATATCTAAAATATCTAGGAAACTACAACACCTCTACAAGAAAATGACTAGTAACTCAATTAAAAAATGGGCACAGGACATGAACAGACACTTCACCAAGGTAGTCAACAAACATATGAAGAAATGTTCATTATCACTAGCCATTAGAGAGATGAAAATCAAAACAATGACATGTCATCTCACACCAGCAGTAACAGCAAAAATCAAAAAAGTAGAGGACAATAAATACTGGCGAGGAGGCAGAGAGACAGGGACCCTCCTACATTGTTGGTGGGATTGCAAAGTGGTCCAATCACTCTGGAAAGCAATATGGAGCTTCCTCAGAAGGTTGGAAATAGAGATACATTATGATCCAGCAATTCCTTTACTTGGTGTTTACCCACAAGAAATACAAGCCATAACACGAGTAGATATACTCACACCAGTGTTCATAGCAGCACTAAATATCATGGCACAATAACTGTAATTTAAAGTCAGTCATTTACATAATGATGTATAAAGCAGAAGAACATTTAAGACTTACCAAATAAAGCAAAGCAAAAACACCAAACAGAGAGCAATATGTAAGGTTTGAACTTTATCTGAAATCAACAAACTTAGTATGTATGCTGTTGTTAAGTGCCATCGAGTCAATAGCGACCCTGTATAGGGTTTAAGGAGCAGCTGGTGAGCTTGTACCACTGACCTTGCATGTTTTGAGGCAGTCAAGGGTGCTAAAATTGCTGTTTGATGGGGTGTAAACGAAAGAATCCGGCTGCTAATCTCATGGTCAGCAGTTCGAAACTACAAGCTGTTCTGTGGGAGAAAGATGAGGCTTTCTGCTCCCGTAAAGAGTTATAGCTTTGGAAACCCTGTACAGGGTCGCCATGAGTCAGAACTGACTCAATGGCACATAACAACAAATGAAAGAGTACAGAATTCTTCAGGGAAGACTTGGTGGGTGGTGGTTGTATGCAACGGAATTGGTTCCAACTCATAGCAACCCTGTATTGAATTTCTGAGGCTGTTAAGTCTTTACAGGAGTAGAAATCCTGAACTTTTTCAGGCAGTGACTCGTAGATTTGAACTATTGGGTAGCAGCCAAGCTCAGAATCCACTACACTATCAGACCTCCTTAGAGAGATGGAAACATTACCTTAATAAATGTATAAACCTGCATGAAGGATGTGAAGAAAACAATAGCTTCACATTTTTATATTTTTGTCTAATTAAAGTGTCTATATTATAGCAAAACCTTTTGACTTAACCTCATACAGCAAATAAAATCTTGTTTTATTTAAAGCCTTCTGCTTTTCCCCCCACCTTCTTAGTGATCCTACAGTGCAAAGTATACTAATTTCGGACTTAACCTCGTATAAATTTTCATTTACCATATATTATTGTATACTAACATTCAGTAAATTTTCCTGAACTAAAAACAGAATGAAAACTGTCAAACTTAAGTTATTTAATGTATACACTGTATCTTTATAGCAAAACTAGAAATTTTCAAAGTAAAATAAAGGCAAAATTCTCACATTCAATTCTGTATTGATCTTTAAAATTTTATAATCTATCACTATGCCGTGCTTTAACATGTAACAATCTGTTTTTCAGAGCTTGAACACTCTGTAACCATTATTTAGAGAGCTAAGCACCCTCACTCCTCACTCATTAGTAATATACAGACTATTGTTGCTAAGTGATTTTGCTTCACTTCCAACTCATAGTCACACTGTATAGGGATTCTAGGAGAGGCTGGTGGGTTTGAACCACCAATCTTGCAGTTAGAAGTCTAGTTCTTATCTAACAACGTCACATCAAGACTTCAATATATATAGTCTTTAAAAAATTCTACAGTGAGAGATTTTTTTCAATTAGCACTGTTTTTCAATTATGTGGTTACAAACATACATAAACAGTATCACATACTCATACTCTTCTCTTTCAATTGAAACTTCTTTTTGTAAATTTTAATTGCTTTTAAAAAGTACAGCAAGACACACAAATTAACATTATTGCCTTTGTTCCAATTACCTGAATATTATCATTCCACTTCTCAGCAAAAAGCTTGTCTGGAAATTCTATAGGTAGAGACAATTGTTCTTTAAATATTTTAAGATACTGTGGAAAACCAAATGAATTCATTAAGTGTATCTGCCGGTGGGAAAATCGTGACTTCACTCTTTTTTCTAAGAGTTCCAAAATATCCTTAAATTAAAAACACAAACAACAAATCCGTATAAGATGCATATTATAAACATTTTGCTAGTATTAGAAATACAGTATTTTAGCTATCACCTATAATAAATAATGCTTTTTCTACATAATTAAACATTACAGGAACCTTGAGAAAAGAAGAACTAGATAACGCCTGATTAACATGACCAACTGTATTGGTCAGAAAAGTAACAGATAGATTCTTACAGAAAGAGAAAAAAGTGTGGAACAGACTTTCAAATTCTTAAAAGATCCAGACTTACTATATCGAGTCCTAAGATTATTACTCCAAGTTATTCTTTAAACCTTAAATGTAAACTATCCTTGATGGCACATTTAAACCAAGTTAAAAGTTTCAGCTCAAAATGTAAAAGGGAACCCTTGAGTATTGCATTCTTTAAGACAAATGATCTATGTAAGAGCAAACAGAACTCCAGACTCATGGACAGAGAAAGGCTGTGTGCTGGTGGTCAGAAGTCCGGCTCACAGACTGTGATCGTTCGTTGTTTAAATGGTTATATATTCCTGAGTGTTTTTGTGTACACCTCCCCCACCTTCCCAAAAAAAAAAGGAATAGAAGCAAATACTGTTGAATGATGAAGCACGAAGGGGACTGTAATCATTGCAATGAAACGATGGATGTAAAACTGATGTCCCCCCATGTAAACTATTGCTCAATTCACAATAAAAATTTAAAATAACAACAACAAAAAGAAATAAACAGACCTAAACTTGGGAGTGGAAAGTAAGAGATAGAAGATGTATTAATGAAGGACAACAATAAGAGAAGTTAGCAATATGGGGAGAGAAGGAATAGTTGGGGTAAAAAAACAAAACACAAAAACAAAACTACATCCATAGGGGAGGATGCTGCTTGCTGGTGGTTACTACTCCATTTACCCTTTTGTTTTCTCCCTAGATAAACATGGGTACATACACATACTTCAAAGACTGGCACAGCCTGAGAATTACATATATATATATATATATATATATAAAACGACGAACGGGAACCACGGACAGCACTGCTAAGGATCACTTTCTGCGGTGTCTTTTCTTGGGCCATAACATCTGCTGACACTTCAATGATCAGAAGATTTTTTTTTTTTTTTAGCAAGAAGAGTGTTTTTCCTCAGAACCAGCTAAAATGTCTTATGAGGGAAGCTCATCTAAAGATACAACATAAGCTCTAAAGCAGTAGGGAAGATGTAAGGAATGAAAAATAACTTACTAAAAGGTTTCACTTTTCTAAAAAAGAGAGAGCCAAGGAAGGAGAATAGGTAAACAGAGTTCACATAAGCTTGCCAGGACAGGGGCAGGGGAAGGGGGAGTGGTTATTTTTTGTGTATGTGTGTAATGAATAATGACAGCTGGGAAGGTATTGACAACCCTATGAGTATGGGAAGAGTGGTGGATTTTACTTCCAGTTTTACATAAATTTCAATAACCAAGTTCATGTTATGATAGTTTTAAAAGGCCTGGGTGAAAGGCTAAAGGAATAGATTTAATGCATACAGCCTCTACAAAGTCATGTGATAATGTCATGTAGATTAGGGTTACAAGTACTCTCAAATCTCCCAAGGAACACAGAAGCCACTATCTATTGTAATAGCTTGACAGACATAACTGTTTCTATTTCTGGAGATATTTACTTACAAACAGCACAGTAATATTTTGAGTTGAATCCAAGTATTTTCAAACTATGGAAAGAATCTTAAATGTAAAAGAACTATTAGCAAGTTTTGTAAAATAGTGGTGAGATTATTTAACTGCCCCACTGATTTGCTAACACAGAAATATTAACATATTCCACAGGAGGGAGGTAGGTATTAGTTTATAAGCATATGTGAGAGTTTTCTTATTTTCCTATCAAAGTCGAAAAGTGGAGTAAACACACCAGACACTGGTAAAAGACAACTGAAAAAATATCTTACAGAATAGCTACATAAGTGAAAAAAGACTGTTAGTAATTGAACTGGGATTATCTATTAAGGCCAATTTTTTAAAATACAAAGACTTACCAATCTACATGTAAGACCAACTACTGCAATTGGAGTCTGTGCAGACTGAGAAATATCAAAAAGATTATAAAGTAGTGTTTGGTTTTTATGATGGGCAAAAAGATCAAATTCATCCAAAATGAAGATCACTGGGCAACTGCTAGTCCGACTGCCTAAAATGAAAATGACAGTTTTACATTAAGAAGCAAATTAATCAACCTTTATTAAACTTTCTAACAATTTACTGTGTTTTAGCTTTTAAAATTCAATTCAACAAACATATTGACAACAACTTTTGGGTAGGACATTCATTAATGCAGGTGCAATGTATTACCCAAATGATTACAATAGCTCCAATTGACCTCAACAATTTGTAGTATAGTTACTAGACTTTACTAACTTGATGCAAAATTAAGAAAAAAATGTCATCGGAATGGCATGAGGCTATTATCTTTTAAATTGTGTAAACATATTTTTTTATAATTAGAAAAAAACCTGATAAAGATCTTTTACATTTATATAGAACCAAAGCACATAGAATTAAAATATACAGAAAATTACTAACTTGTGAACAAAACTATTGCTTCAATGGTAACTATCTTAGATGAGGCAGCAATGTTACTTTAAAGGCCTTCTTGGCATAATAAAGGGTCCTGATGAGGTGCTGTGGGTTAGTGTGCCAGCCTGCAAAGTCATTTGAACTTCAAAGCTCACCAGCTCCTCCTAGAAACCCTATACTGTGTTTAGTCAGAACCAACTGGACAGCACTTAACAATAACAACAAAAAGCAGCTCTGGAAGCACAGTGGTTATAAGTTGGACTGCTAACCTCTAGGTCAGCAGTTTGAAATTACCAGACATTCCATGAGAGAGAGATGAGGCTCCCTGCTCCTGTAAAGATTTATAGCCTTGGACACCCTATACAGCGTTGCTATGAGTCAGAACCAACTCCATGGTACATCACCAAACAATAACCTTTAATGCTGGCACACAATCCAAGAAACTACTCAAAAGTCTAGAAACAGAGCCAAATAACACAGAAACACAAAATATTTCCAAAAACCATACTCCTTGTCCAGTCAATTCCAATTCTTAATAATCCTGTAGGATACAGTTGAAGTGCCCAAATAGGACTTAAGAAGCCAATTGTCACATCTCTCCCCTATGGAGAAGGTTCAATCTGTGCACCTTTCAGTTAGCAGCTGAGTGCTTAATCACTGAATCATATGGGCTCACTTACAAAATGATAAATACCACCATTATCTAAATTACACAAATTAAATTACATTTTTTCCCCCTACTAGATAGACATGAAATTAATATCTACTGATTCTGAAGTAGTGAAGAAAAAAAGGACTGTCAAATATGTTTCAAATACTAATAGACATGCTTGAGCCCACTGATGCTGCCACTTGGCCAATCCATCTCGTTGGGGGTCTTCCTCTTTTTCTCTGACCCTCCACCTTAACAAATATGATAGCCTTCTCCAGTGATTGGTCCCTCTTGAAAATATGTCCGAAGTATAGTACTTTACAAAATGAAGCATATGAAAATCATAAAAATGAAGATACAGATATATATATATATATATATATATATATAGTCCTGGTGTGGGACTATAGGATAAACAATGGACCACAAAGTCTGTTTGAACTGCAAGATCGGTGGTTCAAATCCACAAGCAGCCCCTCATGGCACTTAAAACTTACACAGGGTCGCTATGAGTTGGAATTGACTCGACTGCACTTAACAAAATTTATACACATACAGATATACACACACATATATATGAGTGTGTGTGTGTGTGTGTGTATAGAGAGTGAGTGAGCGAGAATTAGAAATCTATTTTTAAAAAAACTTAATAGTTACCTTTTTTTAAAGCTTCCAGAAGAAATGAAAGATTCTCAGCAAAGCTTCCCTGAATAATAAGGAAAAAAAAAAAATCCATGACTAGAAGTTCGTGAATAATAAACAAAAGAGGGATGTGTCACACTTAATACACTTTATCTACTGCATTTTTTAGTAATGAAAACCATTAGTCAAATTATAGGCTTAATATCTCCAAGCTTAGAATCTAAAAACTGAAATATAAAAGCAGAAAACCAAGTTGCTCCAACTCATGTTAAACTCACGATTGTCAGCGAAGAACTATGCTGCACAAGGTTTTCAAATGGCTAAATTTACAGAAGTAGATTGCCAGCCCTTTCTATGAAACTGTTTCTGAGAGGATTTAAACTTCTAACCTTTCTGTCAGCAGCCAGGTGCATTAAGCACTTGTGCTACTCAGTGCACACTGCTGAACATGGCAATGCAAAAGTCATACTAGAAATTATATATTTTTTTAGCAAAATCTGTAAATATATTAACTTTATTTAGCAGCAGTTTGGAAGAGTTGTTATTATGTTCTAAATAGCATCAGAGAAGAAGTAGAAATGAATTTCATAGTTTAAACATGTCAGACTCTTCCAAGTCTTAAATTCATTTGTTCTGCAAAGAAATGACCATTATATTCAATGGAATAGCAAAGAAAAGGAGAAATTCGCTTCAAATAATTTAGATTTATATATGTGTCATATCAAATTTGACAATGTTTATTTGGAACACAGTCAAAATATTTTTGGATAAAATTTACATATTCTAGATGGAAATTAACAGAGCAGCAGCTGCATTATTCAGATATTCCAGTTTGTATGTAGAGGTCCTGTTATAATATTTTTTCACCAAATTCATTAACCTTAAATTCATTCAGATTTTCTAATGTAAAGAAACAGCCTATTTTAAATATGGCATATGTAAAGAAGAGGAAAAAAAACAACCCACTTGTTTACTTCCCCAAAGAAAACCATTTGTTTCACAGTTAAGAGAATTGATACAAAAAAACATAATAGTTTTTTTAGTGCTTCCTGGTGTGGTGCTATAAGATCAGCACTGGACTGCTAACTGCAAGGTCAGTGGTTCAAACCCACCATTCCTTCACTGGAAATCCTACACAGGGTGGCTATGAGTTGAAACTGACTCAATGGCACTTAACAACAACAACACACAAGCGATATCACTCATCATTTAAACTGCTGCTCATAGAGACAATCTCTTGGGAAATCAGGGGTCAAAATTACCCAAAGGTTACTTATCTTCTAACACTATTTATTATGTGGATCCAATATGCTAAAACAAAACAGAAAAGCTCTAGAATGAGGTTCAGTGACTTAGGTTCTTAAAGTCAAGTCTGTCATTTTATTACCTTAAAATCAAAACTCTACTGCTATCGACTCAATTACAATTCATAGTGACTCTAGAAAACAGAATAGATCTGCTCTTAAGGGTTTCTGTATTTGAGAAGACCGTCTCATCTTTTTCCCTCGGAGTAGTTGGTGGGTTTGAAAGAATAATTTGCAGCTAACAGCTTCACCCACAGTGCCAGAAGAGTTTCTTTTATGACCTTGTTCCTTGTTGTTATTGTTTTTAAGTGCTGTCAAATTGGTTCCAGCTCACAGTAACCCTATATAGGGTTTCCAAGGAGAAGCTGGTGGGTTTGAACCACTGACGTTGAGGTTCAAACCGACTTTATAGTCCAGTAAGCATTCTACCATACCAGAACTTCTTTATGACCTTGGAAAATTTAATCAAGCTCTTTGAACCTCAGGTGTCTAATCTACATACTGAAGAAGTTAAACTAATAATTTCTGTTTAATAATTAAGAAAATAAGTAAGCAACTGCGCGCATTATTATTTCACATGATTCTGTTATGAATATCTCCATTTAGGATACTGCTAGAAATCTTTATCCAGATCAAGTGGAATTAAAAAGCCAAACAGTGTAATTAATAGAAGCTTTCCTTGACTAATAAGTAAGCAACTGGCTTTGACATTACATACTGAATAAGAATTTTTAGAAGAAGAATATTAAACTTTGCACTTTGGGGTACATATGGTTGGTTCAACATTTTAAAGGTAATTATTCAAGAATGAAACATTTAAATGTCTTTACATCTGCATACAGAAGGCTGTGTGTCAATGCAGTAGAGCACATAGTTTAGAGATTAGAGTGACAGCACTCTCCAAGATCATGATAAACCACAAATGAACTTGGAATATACACAACTACCCCTACTGCATAAAAAGCATGAGAATGGGGCTTTTTAATCATGAAAATTAGGGCAACAAAAAATTCAGTTAATTTGTATTGCTCTTTAAATCTATGAATTAGGTGGTAGTAAAAAGTTAATATAAATTTCAAAACATATTAACTCAACCTGAAAGTTTTTACTTTTATTTTTAACATTTTAATATTTTTAACACTGATGTTGACTATACTGAGACACCAAGCTGCCACAATGTGTTATGAATACGATTCTGAAACTATTTTTAAGGTATGAGATAACTGACATTTGTATAGCACACTACCATCCAGCCACATTAAAAAAATATAAATGTTACTTTCTTCTTTTAGAATAATCCAATAAAACTAAATGAAAAATACGTAATTCAGATATTCTGGCATTCAGGATCACTAGCTAATGATTGCAATGCAAGACTCCTATCAGCAATTGTAGCATTAAATTTAGCACTACTCCCATATATCCAACTCTTAGAAGACTAGAAATAGACTGCTAGTATTTGGTTCTTCTGTATTGTTTTAAAATATAATAATTTATTTCCAAGGATAGAGAAGCAGAAATTTTATATTACTAAGGGAACAAATTCAGAAACTACATAAACCTGAATTTTTGTAGCAATTTTAACATCACTACTATAAAAAATAACATGTATTTGAAGAATCAATACATTCTATTATGTATTTTTATGACAAGAATCTTATATATTTCAATTAGGAATCTCTGAACCCCTCCCTAACCTTCTAAAAGATAAACACATCTATACTTTATAAACTTAATTTGAAGTTTATCTAAAAGATTAAAATTATACTTACAAAAACTTTATCTCCAACTACATTTTCCAGGTTTAACTGCCTTGTGATTTCTTTTACAGCAATTTTATCATTGATCTGCAACAATCCTGAAAGAATAGCCCATTTAAAAGTAGTTCAACAAAATGAAGTACATATCTGATGCAATGCAGATTATTTCCCATATGTTCAATACTTACTGGTATAGAGTCAAAGTTTATGAGTTTACATTATTTTAGTGAAAATAGTCAGCAAAAAAGACATATGGTACCATCTTCTATAAGGCTAGTGTTATTAACACAGATTCAAAACACACTTCTGTGGATTGATATGCTGTTGTTGTTAGGAGCCATCTAGTTGGCAACGACTCCTACAGACCCTATGGTACAACGAAACACTGCCAGGTCCTATGCCAATCTCACAACAGTCGCTACATTTGAGCCGATTGCTACTGCTATTGTGACAATCCACTGACCTTTTTTTCTCCTATCTTCCACTTTACCAAACATGATATCCTTCTCTAGGAACTGGTCCCTCCTGATATGTCTGAAGTACGAGAGACAAAATTTGGTCATCCTAGTTCCCATGGAGTATTCTAGCTGTACTTCTTCCAACACAGATTGTTCTTTTCACAGTCTACTGTACTGTTAAATTTCTCCAATAACACCATAACTCAAATGCATCAATTCTTCTACTGTCTTCCTTATTCACTGCTCAACTTTCACATGCATTTGAGATTAATGAAAATACCATGGCTTGGATCAGAAGTGCCTTAGTCCTCAAACTGATATCTTTGTTCTTCAACACTTTAAAGAGGTCTTGTGCAGATTTGCCTAATGCAATATATTGTATGATTTCTTGACTGCTGCTTCCTTGAGTGTTGACTGATCCGAGCAAAATGAAGTCTGACAATTTCAATCTTTTCTCTATTGACTTGATTGTTGTTTGTTGGGCCAGTGGTGAAGATTTTTGTTTTCTTTACATTGAGATGCAACCCAAGCTGAAGGTTGTGGCTTCTGAATTCTTTAGTAAGTGTTTTATGTACTCTTTGTTTTCAGCAAGCAAAATTGTATCATGTACAAATTGCAGGTTGTTAATGAGTCTTCCTCCAATTTTGATGTCATGTTTTTCTTCATATAATCTAGCATCTTGGATTATTTTTTCAGCATACAGATTGAATAAGTATGGTGAAAGAATACAACCCTGACGCACACCCTTCCTAATTTTAAACCTACTTGGTGTTCCCTTGTTTTGAACAACTGCCTCTTGGTCTATGTACAGGTTCCTCATGTACACTTAAGTGTTCTGGAATACTCATTCTCTGCAGTGCTGTCCATAGTTTGTCACGATCCACAAATCGAAAGCCTTGGTGTAGTCAATAAAGAACAGGTGAATACCTTTCTGGTATTTTCTGCTTTCAGCCAAGATCTATCTGACATCAGCAATGATATCCCTTGTTCCATGTTCTCTTCTGAATCCAGCTTGAACCTCTGGAAGTTCTCTGTCATTGCATGGTTGCAGTAATTTTTCCTACTATTTTTAGCAAAATTTTACTTGTATGCCATATCAATGATATTGTCCAATGACTCTGGCATTGCATTGGGTCACCTCTATTTTGATATTTTGAATGGACATAAATATGGATCTTTTCAAATCAGTTTGGCAGGTAGTTGTCTTCCAAATTTCTTGGCATAGATGATTTACTGCCTCCAAATGCTGCATTAGTTTGTTGAAAGATTTCAATTTGTATTTATTCCATTAATTCCTGGTGCCTTGTTCCAAGTGCACTGTGCCCCCCAAATATATATGTTGTAAATCCTAACCCTATATACTTGGTGGATATAATATGTTAATGTTACACCAGTGTAGATTATGTCTTAAGGCAATAACCTCAGAGATATGAGTTTATTGGACAAAGAAGGATAAACAGAGATGGGGGAATATAGCTGTCATATGACATTAAGATTACCGAGAAATCAATGAACAGAAACAGAGAAGAGACAGACTTTCTTCCACAGTGGCACCTATGAGAAAATAAATTTCTGTTCATTAAAGCCACCCACTCATTATAGGACCACTAGATAATGAAAACACATAAAATTAATTTAAATTCAGAGTATAAAAATATAACATATAGCTACGAATCGGGCTGCGAACCTTAAGGTCAGCGGTTCGAAACTACCAACCACTCTGCGGGAGAAAGATGAGGCTTTCTACTCCCGTAAAGATTTACACCCTCGGAAACCCTGTACAGGGTCGCTATGGGTCGGAACCAACTCGACGGCACTTAACAACAACAACAATTAATTTAAAATATTGAATATATATTATATACATTTTATATAATTGCAATGATAAAACAATGCCATGCTTACCATTTAGATGAACTTGTAATAAATTTTCACTCATATCTTCTATTTCCATGAGTTCCTTTAAAGCATGATTTATTAACTAAGTAAGTAAAAGTTTAAAAGATAATTAGTAATAGGTAAAAAATGTAACGAAGTCCATTTTCTCTTTTAAAGTATGAATGTAAAGAACAGGATACAAATGGGTTATTTTTTAAATTAACATGTAAACTTTCATATTTGTTAAATATAAAAAGTTTAACTAGAATATCTCATGGTTGACTTTTCAATATGCCAGTCAAGACTAATGTCACATTCTTCAATCAAATTTTAAGACATATTTCTCTGTAAGTCAAATAAAACCATGATGCATGAATTTCCTGACTCAGTACATTATGAATCTTTCTTAATATTTTACTCTAGTATTATTAAAATTAGATATTTTATTAAAAAGTATATATTAGAACAATGCTAAATGATGATAAAAGTCTACCCCTAATCTAACAATTCCAAGAAAACATTGAACTACTTTACTATTCCCATGAAAAACAAGTCAAAAACTGCAGGTGGTTATTAACTTGAAAAAAAGATGTCCCCTCAGTTAGCTGCTAGATACACTAAGAAAGAAATTTCAAGTTTGCAGCAATAAAAATATATTACTATTAGAATGTAAATTTATAATTACACGAAAACATGTATAAACCTTAAACTGTTCCATTTTAAAGCCCTGGTAGTAGAATGGATTGAGTCAGGCTGCTAACCACAAGGTCATCAGTTTGAATCTACCAAATCTCGTGAAGATTTACAGCCTAGGAAACCCTATACAGGATCGCTATGATTGAGAACCGACTCCATGATACACCACCACTACCACCACCACCATCACCCACCAATGGCTTAAACGACTCCAAGTCACAGAAAGAATGAACAGTGGTGGACTCCAGGGAGCATCCAATGCTCACAGCACCTCTATAGCCTCCTACTAGCTTCATCCACCTGCCAAGTAGCTGTATAGCGTTTTATTTCCAGCACAGGGCAGTCCATGCTAAAGCTCCTCAGCTTGTACCACAGGAGCCAGCAGAGCCAGACAGAGTACTCACAGGCTCCTGGCTCTGGGTGACAGTGACTATACATGTTTAGGGAGCAACTGTCTCAACAGGTTGTTGTTAAGTGTCATCAAGTCCATTCCAACTCAAAGCGACCTTTGAGATGGAATCAAGGAGCAGCTGGTAAGCTAACAAGTTTGAACTGAAGGCCTTGTGTTCGAGCGTCCAGTGCATATGATTGTGCCACACCAGGAATGCGTACCAACAGGTAGTGGTAGTCAAAGCCTCCACTGACAGCTGTGCTTCATTCCTAGTCTGGTTCCCAAAGCCACCTCTCCAAACCCTCAAACTACCAAAAACCAACTCTGAACTCAGATGTATGAAAAGCCCCAATCCAGTTGCCAATGCAGCCTCCACCTGGCCTGGCCACAGACCTGGTAACCAGACTGGCATCCTTGTCCAGGGGATCTAGCTCTCAGACTTTGGTTGCATTCCATAAAGTTTTAACACAATTGGTTTTATAGGTATTTAATTATGGATTGAATGGAGTCTGACTGTATATAACGTAGTGTCAGCATAAAGTCCCAAACACATAATGTCCTATTTTATAAAACATATTGTGGACATTAAGTGACATGTAACTGAATTTGAAATACAACAAACTACACAATTAATTATAGATTTTAAATTTTATGTTATTTCAGGTAATACAGCCATGGGTGGTATCTTAAATATACTATTATTTTTGCAATTTAAATTTATATAATTAATTTGAGACTTCTTGTCTAACAGTAAGATATAAACTAAAACTCAAACCCACTGCCATTGAGTTGATGTAACAACACACTACAAGATAAAGTAAAATACACAGAGTCTTTATGGAAGTAGAGTGCCAGATCTTTCACTCACGGAATAGCAGATGAGTTCGAGTCACTGAACTTCAGGTTAGCAGCTGAGCACATTAATGGCTGTGCCACTTGGGCTAAAGAATAAGCTAGATTGTACCCATTTATTCAATCATTTCTACATATAAGGAAATCACCCTAAACCCCCACCACACAACAAATAACAAAGGTGGCAGAGGGTGAGCAATGTTTCTTATCTTACTGAACTTTCAATATTGGCTAGACTTAGGAATAAACTAAACTGTACAGAAACAGAACACCAATAGAACATTTTTTCAGAGTCCAGTAAAGTTATAAATGACATAAAAGCAACAGAACATGGTTCTTGCTTAAACAGCAACAACAATGAAATAAATCATCAGCACAGCCAATAATAATTTACCCACTCTATTATCTGATAATTACTATCTTACTAGATTCCTTCTTGCTTAAAAAAGTAAACAGAATTAAGATAAAAATATCTATTCATAAAAAAATGTGACATAAAACAAACATGGAACTTACAACAAAGACTGATACTAGAAATCTAAACTGTAGAAAACATGTTTGGAGCTGTCTGATAAATACAAAACAGACTTAGATAAATACAAAACAAGACAAAGAAGTATATGACGACCAGGAGCAAAACAAGAAAGATTAGGAAACCAAAATATAGTACCAGAATTAGAAGGAACAAATAACAGAAATTACAATGAAGAAAATAAAAAAGAATATATGACAGAATACTGAAGAAGAAAATTATGATAAAAACAAAGATGTAATAAACAGATATTCTAATCATAAAACAGGAAGGATCAACTGAAAGAAAAAACTAAAATAAAAACCAAACTCAAATATAAAAAAATTACCCCATGTGATGTCCTAGATGGTGGAGTGTTCTCTCCAATGAAGCAATTAGTGAGCTTCCAGGAAAGGTCTGAGTCAACTTTTTGAACTCGGGAGTCTAATCAAACACTTGTAGTGGTCAGGGAGAGCTCAATGAAATGACTAATGATATTTATAAATTTTAGTAAAAATATTACACAAAAAGTAGAAGTACGAACATTTACAAAGAAAAAAAGAACTTAACAGAAACTATCCAAGAAGAGAGACACTGTAATTATTAGTCAAAGACATTACTAAATCAACTATCTTAAATACAGTCAATAAAGTAAAGAAAACCATGGACAAAACACCCAGGGATATCAAAACAAAAAAAAAATTATCAGAGAACAAAATCAGAATGTCAATAACAAAAAGGTAGCCAAACATTAATTCTGAAACTGAAAAGTACAATGATTAAAATGAAATACTCAGTAGAGCTGTTTAATATATTATCTGAGCAAGCAAAAGAAAGGATCACTGACTTTGAAGATAAGACAATAGAAATTATCCAGTGTAAGGAGTAGACAGAAAATAAAAATAACACAAAATGAACAAAGCCTGAGAAAACTGAGGCATATCAAGTGTAGGAACATTACATCATCAGCATCCCAAAAGAAGAAAGGCAGAAAAAAATATTTGAAAAAATAATTGCCAAAACTAACTAAATTTGATGAAAGACATGAATACAGACAGCAGTTACTACTATCTAACAAAGATATGTTCTAAAATGTGGAAATGTGGATAGCACTGAATCACATATATACGCATATGCAATTTTACTTGGTGCTATGGGTTAATGTGTTGGACTGCAAGGGAAATGAACAGAAAGGTCAGCATGATCGCTATGTGTCTGAACTCACTTGACGACATTTAAAAACAACAACAATAATTACAACAACCCTCATTTCAAAAAATATGTTAGGTAGGTATCTAAATTAGTTGTGAAAATATGGTAAAAAACAGACTCTACACAGTACAACCATTTAATTTTAATAGTAGTCTTTTCATATATAGTAATAATAAATATGTCTTATATATGGACTGGTGGTGGTATGCCACCGTGTTGGTTCCAAATGATAGTGACCTGGTATAGTAGGGTTTTGGTGGTGGTGCATAAGTGTCATGCATGGAGTCAGTTCAAACCCTGGGCAGGGTTTCTGAAGCTATAAATCTTTACGGGAGCAGAAAGCCTCATCTTTCTCCCGTGTAATCACTGGTAGTTTGAACTGTTGACCATGAGATTAGCAGCCTGACTTGTAACCGCTATGCTACCAGAGCTCCTTGGTATAGGGTTTGTTGCTGTTGTTGTTATATGCCGTGGAGTCGGTTCCGACTCATAGCAATCCTGTACAGGGGTTTCCGAGGCTGTAAATCTTTACAGGAACAGAAAGACTCATCTTTCTCTTGCGGAACAGCTGGTAGTTTCAAACTGCTTACCTTGTGGTTCACAGCCCGATTCGTAACCACTATGCTACCAGGTATAGGGTTTAAAGGTTGTAAATCTTTATGGGAGCAAGGTTCATCTTTCTCTCAAGAAGGGACTGGTAGATTCGAAATGCTGATATTGGAGTTAACAGCCCAGCTCCCAATCTACTATGTTACCAGGGGTCCATATATGACTAAAAAATAGAAAAGGACAGAATGAAAGAAAAGAAAACAAAAGAATATATTTCTGAGGAAACCGAGCAAATAGAATCATGAGGGAAAGTAATAGAAATGTATAAAAAATGTGAATGTGTATACCAAAAAATTACATGTCATTAGGTTAAACAATAAACAATAAAAAGGAAGAGAAAAAAAGAACACATGGTATTCTTAAGTCTAAAAAAACACAGGGACAATAATGCCTGCTTTGAGGGTTAGTATGAAGAATAAAAGATCACATATAAAAGAAACAAAGTCAGTTTTCAGTAAATGCCAGTTTTGCTTCTTTTCATTGGCAATCTCTAATTCATCAAGGAAAAAAGATCATGCTGGGTACAAACAACTATTGAAAATTTATCACAAGAGGAAAAGATGAAAAAAAAAAAATGTATGCTCATTTCAAATATACCATCTAAACGTTACAAGGCATATTCATAGCTTTGACTTAAATAAATAACAAAATTACTACTAAGCAAGCAATGAAAATAATAGAAAACATTTGTTATGTTGAATAAAATAAGAATTGTCATATGCCTGCCAAAGCAAAAAAATACCAGATATCAATAGTTTTTACCATGGTTTTTCCTGCTCCTCGGGGTCCAATAATGAGCACAGAGTTACTTTCTCCATGTATAGCAGTTCTTTTTAGCAACTCAAATAAGTGTCTGAAATGATACAAGACCAAAATTTGAAAAGCAAACTGAGATAGTCTGCTAGAAGCAGAATTTGAATATGCATAGAAAACTGGCATTTTTCTCTCTTACTCCCACTGAATACTTGATTTATGCTCTATGTAGTCCAACACTGAAGACAGGAGAATAAATGGTAGGTCAATGCTGATTCTATGGGAAATTTTAGATATATCTAGGAAGTTTGGCATATTTGATGTCTTTAAGATAGGAGGGATAATAATGGCAGTACTTTGGATCAGGTATTAGGGCAAAGAGCTAAAAATTCTCACAATAATCTCAGATAATAGAAACAATACAAGACTGAAAGTTAAAAACCGTCCTCATTATAAAAATGTATTTGTTATGTTAATTTATATTATACTTGTACCTACTTGTATTGTACTTGTAATCCAAACAGGTTACTATGTGAACTCTGATGACAAAATCTTTCACGCAAAATTCTTTGTACCTGATAAAAATAAAGTGAACAAATAATGTGAATGAGTGAAAAAATTACTTGCATAATAAAAAACTGATAAGAAAGTAAATTTCTACCAGTCAAATTAGGAACTAAAGAACCATTCAATGCTTCTTAAATACTTGTTCTCAAGAATTCTGGCACCACTACAAGGTACACTGAAATTATTGGCAAAGAATAAGGTTCTGGGAGTTGATGGAATACAAACTGAAAATTTTCAACAGACATATGAAACAAACTGATGAAACTCATCTATGCTAAGAGATTTGGAAGTCAGCTACATGGCCAACAAATTGGAAGAGATCCATATGTGTGCCCATGCCAAATGCGGAAATCATCAGACAATATCATTAATATTGCAAACAAAGGAAATTTTGCTAAAGGTAAGTCAAAAGCGGCAGGAATAGTACACTGACAGAGAACTTCCAGGAGTTCAATCTAGATGCTGATAAGGACACAGATTGAAGGTTATCACTGCTGACATCAGATAGATCTTGGCTAAAAGTAGAAAAATACCAGAAGTATGTTTATCTGTGCTTTTATGGACCAAAGGCTTTCAACTGCATGGATCATGACAAGCTATGGACAACACTGCAGAGAATGTGTATTCCAGAACACTTAATTGTGCTAATGAGGAACCTATACAGAGACCAAGAGGCAGTCGTTTATAAAAAACAAGGGAACATCGAATGGTTTGAAATTAGGGAAGGTGTGGGCGAGGGTTGTACTCTTTCACCATACTTACTCAACCTGTATGCTGAGCACATTAATCTGAGAAGCTGAATTATATGAAGAACGTGGCATCAGAATTGGAGGAAGACTCATTAACAACCTGTTATATGCAGATGATACAACATTGCTTGCTGAAAGCAAAGAGTACTTAAAATATTTATTGATGAAGATCAAAGACAACAGCCTTTGGTATGGGTTGCATCTCAATTTGATCAACCAAAAACACTCATGGAAACAGCAGTCAAGAACTCAAATGACACACTGCATTAGGTAAATCTACTGCACAAGACCTTGTTAAGGTTCAAGAGCAAAGATGTCAGTTTGAGGGCTAAGGTGAGCCTGACCCAAGTCAGATGTTTTCAATAACTTTATGTGCATGTGAAAGTTGCACAGTGTAAAGGAAGAGCATAGAAGAATTGATGTATTTGAGTCAAGGCATTGGAGGAAAATATTAAAAGTACCATGTACTGCTAAAAGAATATACAAAACTGTGTTGAAAGAATTACAGCCAGGATGGAGGGACCAGATCCTGGAGAAGGACAAACATCATGTTTGATAAAGTAGAAGATCGGAGAAAAAGATATGACCTCCAACGAGATGGACTGGCACAATGAAGCTCCAATGGACTCAACTGTAGCAGTGATTGTGAGGCTGTTGCAGGACCGGGCAGTGTTTCATTCTTTTGTACATGGATACACTATGATTCAGTACCAACTCAATGGCACCTAAGAACAACAACAAGAAAGAGTTTCAAAAGTAACAGTTCTTTTTACTACTATCAACTCCCAAAGAAAGAATGAGAATTTAGAAGTGTAGATTTCAACAACAAGGAAAAATACTGTACTTGAGCTATATTACAACACGAGGGCTATTTGAATTTAGGTGGGGAAAAAAAAAAAAAGACCACTCTGTATAATGTATTGGCCAAGAATAAAAACAGGATGGAATCTAATGCAATCAAATCTAATAAAGACACACAAAACCTTCACAGTCCAACAAATTTAAATTGGCTAAGCTCAGGTTCTATTAATTTGTACCTATAATAAAAGTCATGATTCTAAAGAAATCAAAGCAGTTTCAAAGTCCATATAAACTGAAAAATACTTGAAAGTCGGAACCTGTGAAAGGCAGAAAAGTATAAGAAGGAAAATGCAACTAGTTTCCCCTAAAACAAGCAGAAGAAAAGTGGTAAGATTTCATCTTCTCAAAGAAGGAAAACTTGTGAGAACTGGAAAAACAAGGCAATCAATGGAGCTTCAGATTTCACAGATTTCATTATAGTTCCTAAGAACCTATTAGACGCAGAGCATGCTAGAATTAAATGGCATGAATCATACCTAAATGTCATTGCAAGTAAAATGTAAAGAAATGATACACTTAAATAAAATGCAAAAAATGGTTGCAATTACTGTCCTTAGGTGCCATCAAGTCCATACCCACTCACAGCGACCTTATGCACAACAGAACAAAGCACTGCCCAGTCCTGCACCAACCTCACAATAGATGCTATGCTTGAGACCATTGCCGCTGACACACTGTGCCAATCTATCTCATTGGGAGTCTTGCTCTTTTTCGCTGACCCTTCACTTCCTCCAACACAAATTTGTTAGTTCATGGTACTTTTAATATACTCCTACAAAACCACAATGCAAATGAATCAATTATTTTACAGTCTTCTTTATTCATTGTCCAACTTTCACAGTCATTTGAGGCTACTGAAAATAGCATGGTTTGGGTCAGGGACAATTCAGTCCTCAAGCTGACATCTTCGCTCTTGAACACTCTGGTCTCAGGGTGTCTTCTTGTCTTTCTCTTTGCATCTTTGTGTGTATTTTTTCTCTATCTCTGTCACCGCCAGATCTCCCTCTTTCGTGAATCAAACCCCCCTTGTGGAGGCTGGTTCTCGACACATGTGCATATATCGCAAGTTGTTAATAAGTCTTCCTCCAATCCTGATGCCATGTCCTTCTTCATATAATCCAGCTTTTTGTATTATTTGCTCAGCAGATAGAATACAACCCTGGCATACATCTTTCCTAATTTTAAACCATTCAGAGTTCCCTTGTTCTGTTTGAACAATTGCCTCTTGGTCTATATAGAGGTTCCTCATGAACACAAGTAAGTGTTCAGAATACACATTCTCTGCAATGCTGTCCATAGCTTGCCATGATCCACACAATTGGAAGCCTTTTTGTAGTCAAGAAAGCCCAGATAAACATATTTCTGGTATTCTATGCTTTGAGCCAAAATATACCTGACATCACCAATGATATCGCTTGTTCTGTCTGTGTCCTCATCTGAATCTAGCTTGAACTTCGGGCAGCTACATGTCAACATACTGTTGCAGCTATTTTTGTAATGTCTTTAGAAAAATCTTGCTTGCAAACAGTATTAATGATATTGCTGGATGATTTTTGCATTCAATCAGGTCACCTCACTTTGGAATTGGCGGAGATATGAATACCTTCCTATCAGTTGGCCATTTAGCTGACTTCCAATTTTTTTGTGAAGATGAGTAAATGCCTTCAGTGCCACCCTTAGTTTTTTTTGGAAAATTTCCATTTTATTCCATCAACTCCTAGAGCCTTGTTATTTGCCAAAGCCTTCAATGTACCTTGGACTTTTTCCCTCAGGGTCACTGGCTCTTGATCATATGCTATGTCTTAAAATAGCTGAATATCAACCTTTTCTTTTTGGTACAGTGACTCTGTGTATTTCCTTCCATCTTCTTTTGATGCTTTTTGCATCATACAATGTTTTATCCATAGAATCCTTCATTATTTCAAGTTAAGGTGTTAATTCTTTCTTCAGTTCCCTTAAGTTCGAGAATTGCTGAGAATGCTCTTTCCTTTTGGTTTTCTAACTCCAGGACTTTGCACATTTAATAAATACTTAACTTTGTCTTTTAGAGTTGCTCTTTGAAATTTTCTGTTCAGCTTTTTTACTTCCTCTATTCTTCTATATAAGGAGCTCTGGTAGCGTAGTGGTTACGAATCGGGCTGCGAACCTTAAGGTCAGTGGTTCGAAACTACCAGCCGCTCCGCGGGAGAAAGATGAGGCTTTCTACTCCCGTAAGGATTTACACCCTCGGAAACCCTGTACAGGGTCGCTATGGGTTGGCTCCAACTCGAAGGCACTTAACAACAACAACAACATTCTTCTATATGTTTTAGCATCTCTATGCTGAAGTTTCACAGTATCTTCTGATATCCACTTCAGCCTTTTCCCTCTTTCTTTTCTTATTGATGACCTTTTGCTTTCTTCCTGTATGATGTTCTTGATGTCACACCACAACTATTATGGACGTTGGTCATTAGTGTCTAATTTATCAAATCTGATCTTGAGCTGATCTCCAAATTCTTTTGGGATATATTCAAGGTCCTATTTTGGCTCTTGCATACTTGTTTTAATTTTCTTCAGCTCCAGTCTGAACTTGCACATGGGCAACTGTTGGCCTGTTCCACAGTCTGCCTCTGGCCTTCTTTTGGCTGATTATATAATAAGAGTTTTTCCAACGTCTCTTTCTACAGATGTAGTCAACTGGATTTCTGTGTATTCCACCTGGTGAGGTCCACGTATATAGTCATCTTTTATGTTGTTCATAAAAGTTATTTGAAATGAAGTCATTGGTCTTGCAAATTCTATCATGTGATCTCCAGCATCTTTTCTATCACCAAGGCCATATTTTCCAATGACTAATCCTACCTCTTTATTTCCAACCTTAGCATTTGAATCACCTGTAGTTATCAACAATTGTTGGCTGCACGTTTGATACATTTCAGAGAGAACAGAATTCTTCAATTTCACCACCACTGGTTTTGGTGGTTGATATAAATTTGAATAGTGGTATTAACTGGTCTTCCTTGTAGGAGGATGTATATTATCCTATCACAAGCAGTGTTGTATGTCAAGACAAATCTTGAAATGCTCTTTTTGATGATGAATGAGACACCTTTCCTCTAAAATTTGTCATTTGTCATTCCCGGCATAGTAAACCATGAGACTGTAAAATTCAAAATGGTTCTAATAGTGTATTGGTTACAAATCGGGCTGCTAGTCTCACAGTCAGCAGTTTGAAACTACCGGCTGTTCTATGGGAGAAAGATAAGGCTTTCTGCTCTCATAAAGATTTACAGCCTCGGAAACCGCCTAACAGGGTCGCTATGAGTCAGAATCAACTCCACCGCACATAACAACAACAACAACAACAATACCAGTTCATTTTAGCTCACCAATGCTTAGGATATTGATGTTTA